TATTTGGATTAAACTGGAGCTGTTCTGGCGGCAAAAGAAAATGCTAAGTTTGAAATCTAGTCTGGAGCAGTTCACTAGCTGTTCTGTAGGCATGCTGAAGTGTGTATTTTGGTGAATTCAGCTGTATTTAGGTTGCCAAACTTTGTAGCTAATTAATGTGATGTAATCAGAGTTGCTAAGGATGAGTGGTTGGTGTCATTTTGAGACTAAAATATGTTTATTAGGTTAGGTGCAATAGTGTCGTCATGTATATATGTCTACTGTAATTTCCAGATTATGTATGCAATATTTCAGCTCTTTTCCTTTCTTGTTTTTCACCTTTTCTCTCTCGTAAGACACATTCATGCTCATAAAACCAACAAGTGGTATCAGAGCTCCATCTTGATCTTAAGGGGCCTGCAAAACCTCATCCTTGCACACTCTCTGTCAGCCTTACCTCACTGAAGACAGACTTCATGGCAACAAGTTCAGCCCACTCTTGCCTCCAACCTTCAATGGGGAACAGTACCATATGTGGTTGTGAAGATGAAGGCTTACCTGAAGTCAGTGTCTATGCAGTATGTTGAAGAAGAGAAACAACCACCACAATTAGGACCAAACCCAACCCTGAACCAGACAAGACTCCATGAAGAGGAGACTGTGAAAGCTCTAAGAGCCCTGTCCCATTTACATGTTGCAGTTACCGATCAAGTTTTCACAAGGATAATGGCTTGTGAACAGCAAGCAAGCTTGGGACAAGCTTAAGGAAGAATTTGGGAGGAAGCACCCAACCAAAAACATGCAAGTCTTGAACCTAAGGAGAGAGTTTGAGACATTAAAAAAGCAGAACTGAAGTGGTTAAAGAGTATGTAGATAGATTAATGAATGTGGTTAACAATAAGGTTGTTAGGGGAAGAGATAAGTGATAAAGAATTGTTAAAAGGTGTTAGTAAGCCTACCCGAGAGTTTGATCAAAGATTTCTTCTTTGGAGGATTCCAAAGACTTGTCTCAAATCACCTTAACCGAACTTGTTCTACTCTCTCAGCCCAAGAGCAAAGAAGAAAATTGAGGCAAGAAGATCGTAGTGAAGTGCATTGTTTGTCCGCAGAAGAGCAAGCCAACTCAGAGAAAACAAGAATTTTGGAGGAGAGAAAAGAGGAAAGGGAGAGCAAACAAGCAGTGGAACAACCACGCAGTTTTCAAGGTTTTTGCTCCATGTTCCCACTACAAAAGAGAAACCATGTTGAGTACAAGTGCTGGTTCAGACCAAATGTTCAATGTAGGGCGCAGTAGCCTAGGCCACATTGAAAAGGTATGCAAAAACAAACACAGCAACCTGCACACAAAGCACAGACTGTTGAAGATTTATAGCAGAATTCTAAATCTGAGCAGCTCTATGTGGCATCTGCTATGCTGTTCATTCAATGCTGGAACTTGGCTGATTGATAGTGATGTACAAACCACATGACGCATGATCTGGGATTTTTGTGCAGTTAGATCAAGCATACCAGTCAGTGTAAGGTGGGAAATGGGAACTTGTGAAAGTTAAAGGCAGGGGAGATTGTGGCTGCAGACCATGACAGTACAAAGATCATTACAATGTATTTTTGTTCCTGAAATCAACCAAAATCTGCTTAGTGTAGGACAAATGCTTGAAAGAAATTACATTCTGCATTTGAAAATAAACTGCACTATATTAGATGATGGGGAAAGGTGATGATGCATGTGAAAATGGTTGGGAAGAGCTTCCCGATTGAACTTAAAAACTAGAGTTTCACTATGACAGTAAACTCAGATGATACAAACCTATGGCAAAAAGAATGGTCTTACCATTATGTGGACTAAGAAATGAAGCTTAAAGGGATGGTACAAATCTTACCCAAAATAGAAGAGAAAGAGCCTATGTAGAGTATGCCAAATAGGGAAGCTTAGCAGACCAGCCTTTCCTACAAATCAGGCCTGGAGAGCTACTGGAAAGCTCCAATTGGTGCACAGATTGTGTGTTGACCAATGCAGACCCCTCCCTGAATGGATCCAGATTCTTCATCTTGTTCATTGATGATCATTCAAGAATGACTTGGGTGTACTTCCTAAAGTAAAAGGGAGAAGTGGCTTTGTGTTTAGAAGGTTCAAAGCTAAAGTTGAAAACCAAACTGGAGTTAAGATAAAGGCTGAGAAGTGACAATGTGGTGAATACACCTCAAATGAGTTTGAATCAACTTGCAGGGAGGCTGGAATATGGCATCAGTTTAGTTGTCCCTACACTCCTAACAAAATGAGAGTGATGAGAGAAAGAATAGGACAGTAATGGGATGTCCAGGTGTTTGCTGACTAAAAGGAGCTGCCAAAGAATTATGGGCTGAACTGTCAATACAAGTGTGTATTTGCTTAATAGGCTTCCAACCAAAGCTTTAAGGATCAAACTCCATTTGAAGCTGGTATGGAGTTAAGCCTCAAGTGGATCATCTAAGAGTATTTGGAAGTATATGCTATGTACTCATACCAGCCATCAAAGTGTCAAAACTGGATGACAAAGCAAGGGCTGGAATTCTGGTAGGTTACAGCCTCCATCCAAGGCTTACAGGATCTTCATTCCAGAGTCAAGAAAGGTTGTTGTTTCAAGGGATGTAAAGGTTGATGAAAGTCAGTGTGGAATTGGGAGAGAAGAAAATTCAGGTAGATCCACAGCCATACAAGAGACAAACTGCTGACAAACTGATGGGGCAGATTCTGAAACGAGAAGAAGAAATTTCAGTCAGGGGAACCAGACCTCTTGTTAAGATTTATGGCAGATGCAAGTTGCATTGCTTGAACCAACATCTTACCATGAGGCAACTAAGTCTAAGGATGGAGACTTGCTATGCAGGGGAGGTGTTCTTGATAGAAAAGAATGGAACATGGGAACTTGGGAAGGCCTACCGGGAGGAAAGTGATCCAAGTAAAGTGGATCTTCAAGAAAAACTGAATCCTATGGTTCAGTTTTGAAGCACAAAGCCAGGTTAGTTGTGAAGGGTTTGCACAGCAACATGGTGTGGATTTCCAAGATACATTTGCCCCTGTTGCAAGACATGATACAATCAGGTTAGTTCTAGCTTTGGCAGCCCATTCAAGTGGAAGTGTATCAATGGATGTTAAGTCAGCTTTCTTGAATGGTTGGTTGGATGAGGAGATCTTTGTTGAACAACCTATGGATATGAAGTCAAGGGGAAAGAAGACCAGTGTACTTACTGAGAAAGGCCTTGTATGCCCTGAAACAAGCTCCAAGAGCTTGGTACAGTAGAATTAATGACTACCTAGTCAGTCTTGGTTATATCAAGAAGCCCCAATGAGCATACTTTATACGTAAAAAAGGCCAATGAAGATGTGATTATGGTTTCCTTGTATGTGGATGATTTGTTGTGACTGGAAACAGTGGAATTCGGTTAAAGAGTTCAAGAAAGCAATGCACAAAGAGTTTGAGATGACTGATTTGGGAATGATGACTTACTTCCTTGGAATGGAAATCCACTCATCTCAAGATGGCATTTTCATTTGTCAAAGGAGATATGCAAATGGATGCTTAAGAAATTTGGAATTGATGAATGCAAGTCAGTTGCCACACCTTTGGTGCAAAATCAAAGGCTATGCAAGATTGAGGAGCAGCCCCGGTAGATGAGACAGATTATAGGAGATATTGGGAGCTTATTGTACTTGACAGCAACAAGGCCTGAGCTGAGTTTTTTAATTGTCTCCTATCAAGATTCATGAGCAAACCAAGTGGGAGCATCTTAGAGCGCCAAGAGGGTGCTGAGATTCATTAGAGGAACTGCAATCATGGAATCGGTTTAGGTGAATCTAAAATTTCAGACTTGATAGGGTATGCAGACAGTGATTGGGGAGGCTCCTGTGATGATATGTGAAGCACATCAGGGTATGTATTCCTACTGAATTATGGTGCATTTTGTTGGTCTTCTAAGAAGCAAGAAGTCGTGGCACAATCCACTACAGAGGCTGAATACATATCAGCTGCAGCTGCAGTAAATCAAGCTATTTAGTTGAGAAATTTGCTGGCTGATATGGAGGTAAAGCAGTGTGAGCCTACTGAAATTTTCTATGATAATCAATCGGCTATTGCAATGGCTAAGAATCCAGTCATGTATGGTCGAACTAAGCACATAAAAATTAAGTTTCATGCAGTGAGGGAGGCTGAGCAATCTGGAGAAATCAGATTGACACACTGCAGGGGGAAATGCAATTGGCTGACATATTTACTAAGTCCCTATGTAGGTCCAAGTTTGAAGACATGAAGCTTAAACTTGGTGTCTCAGCAAAAATATCAAGGAGGAGTGTTCAAAGGAGTGATATTTTGCTTGAAGCATTATTTTGGATTAAACTAGACCTGTTCTGGCTGCAAAAGAAAAAGGCTGAAGTTTGAAATCTGGTCTGGAGCAGTTCACATAGCTGTTCTGTAGGCATGCTAAAGTGATGTATTTTGGTGAATTCAGCATGTATTTAGGTTGCCAAACTTGTAGCTAATTAATGTGATGTAATCAGAGTTGCTAAGGATGAGTGGTTTGGATGTCATTTTGGACTAAAATATGTTTTATGGTTAGGTGCAATAGTGTCTATCATGTATATATGTCTGCTGTAATTTCCAGATTAATGTAATGCAATATTTCAGCTCTTTTCCTTTCTTGTTTTTCACCCTTTTCTCTCCCGTAAGACCACATTCATGCTCATAAAACCAACAGAAGAAACATAACTTGCATCAGTTATTAGACAAATCTCCTTCACAGTCAATACAAGAAAGGACAAAAAAATTCCTTTCGGATTTACAAGATTAAAAATTATGAATAAAATTACAGCAAATAAGTAAACTGTGCAATCTGTTTTTAGTCAGTAAGTCTACAAAGTCATTGCTATTAAAAAAAAAAAATCAATAGCCAAATATAAGTGTTTGCTGATGGCCTTGTCCTTGAGTAAGAGAAGATGATGCCAAATGGTGACATGTTGCAATAGAAGTGAGTAAAGCCTTCTCTAATTATGCAGGCATGTGTCCTCGGACCAATGAAATGACATACTTTAAGAGGGTACTATCACAAGGCAATGTGATAGCTCCATGAGTTGGAAGACCAAACTCTTCTTCAGACATTCTCAACAGCTCTATGAAGACATTTTGGCTGAGATATTCCAAGGGAACCATGAACCTTTTCTCATCAGTTGTATACACAACAAAATGGCCTTTATCAGCAACTAAACTTCTTGGATACATGATTCTCCTACGCTTCGCAGAAGCCATTCTTTGCCACTTCCTTGCCAGTTCAATAAGCCTTTTTGGGCTGATCATGATTGGAAATCCGACTTAGACCTTTAACAAACTAGAACTTTGAGTTATAGAGCTTATGTTTTTAAGCACGACAAACTATGCTATGCAGAAGTCAGTCAGCTGTGATATATATAATTTCACAAGTATAGCCCAGTTCACTTATTTTTGTCTTCTTTATGTTATGTTGATTGGAAGAAATGCCATGTGATCATCAACTATGTTTTGATTATTGCTAAGCAATAAGCATCAAGCCCCATGTAGGCCACAATCACTTGGTTGTTATGCATTTGTTTTCTTCTGCCAAAAGGGATGCATTAAAGTTCTTAGTCCCACTTAAGCATTAAACTTCCCAAGAGAAAACAGAAATCGAACAAAATCATGTTGTTATTCAAAGTATGTTGAGCTTATGTTAGACCAAAATCTTCTTGATAAAAGCAAGACCTAATTACTATATATGATTAATTACCTATATATGATTTGAGGCACAAAATCTTGCATGCTTATGTAAACAAACAATCTTTGAAGAATCTGCCAAATTTATAGAGCAGTAATTGCAAGGAACAAGCCCATGTGCTTTCCTTGTGCAGTTACTATCAATGCAAAGCTATTGTAAGTACCCACGTTAGACTAAATGATGTAGATATTGAACACAAACGAGACAGAGAAAGCAACAAAAGGCAAGCATATTACCGTGATTTGAAATTTGGCTGTTTCTTCTTTCAAACCAACTACTTGAATCAAATTATGGAGATAATTTTGTCTATTTCAGATCTTCACTTGCCAAGAATCCATCAAGCTGATTATGTTGCACATATTGTTCCTCATATGGAACAAATGAGTTAGATTTACCAAGCCGTATTCCTCATAATATTTTGCCTAAGGATTTTTTTTGTCTTCTCTTACTATTCAGTGTATCTTCGAAGTGAATTCTATTATTAAGTACGATAGTTATAAATCCTCTCTAAGAGATAAAAAATTGATATATCCAGGAGGAAAATCTTAAGAAATTGAACTACATTCAATACACGTTAAGATGTTCATAGAAAAAAATGACTTGAATTGTTGAAGGTTGATGCTGTGCTGGAAGTTTGGTTTGCCGAATGTATGAAAAGGCTGAAAATGTTTTGCTCTGCATGGACGTGCATGGGGTTGCTTCATGGTTCAGCAGTTTAAGTTCTTCTGTAATTTTAATGTTAATCCTTGTATTTATTGGCTCAGCTCTTTTGTAATGAAGTTGTTAGTTTTTTGAGTAGTTTAGCTGAGATTAAGGAAAAGTCTTTGATAGTTGTTGAAACAATAAGTGGAAGTATGTTATATGCAGACTTTTGTCTAATGAAAAGATATCCAGTTTTTAGTTTATCTTTCTTCTTCTTTGCACAACCAGCATCATAAAAAACGAACATGGTATCAGAGCTATACTAACCAACCATCGTCTATCAAGTTCACTCAAAAACTCATCCCAAATCACCATCAAACTTCAGCCTTATGCAAGAACAAAATTTTTCAAAAAACTGCAACTAGTTTTTCGCATGGCTTCTCAATCTGCGTCTCTCTCACCTCCAGTGTTCAATGGGGACCAGTATCACATTTGGGCTGTTAGAATGAGAGCCTACCTAAGAGGACAAGGGCTGTGGCAATATGTGGAAGAGGAGAAACAGCCACCTGAACTTGGTCCAAACCCAACTTTGAATCAAATGAGAATGTATGAAGAGGAAATGTCCAAAGCTCCAAGAGCTCTTTCTCACATACATTCGGCAGTAATAGACCTTGTATTTACAAGGATAATGGCATGTAAAACTGCAAAGGAAGCTTGGGATAGACTAAGAGAAGAGTTCATGGGAAGTGATACAACCCGTAACATGCAAGTCATGAACCTGCGCAGAGAGTTTGAAATGCTGAGAATGTAGGAGGTAGAGAAGGTTAAAGAGTATGTAGATAGACTCATGAGTGTGGCGAACAAAATCAGATTGTTGGGAGTTAAGATGAGTGACAAGATGATAGTTGAGAAAGTATTAGTCAGCCTTCCAGAAAGGTTTGAGTCCAAGATATCTTCCTTAGAAGATTCAAAAGATCTCTCCCAAATCACCCTCACTAAATTGGTTCATGCCCTGCAGGCCCAAGAACAAAGATGGTTGATAAGGCAGGAGGACTCAAATGAAGGTGCTATGTTGGCTGCTCAAAAGGGAGTGAATATGCAGGGAAGTAATAGAAAATATGCTAGGGATAAGAGAGGAAAAGAGAGAGCTGGTGGACAGTGGGGAAAACAGAGTGGAGGAAGAAATTATCCACCATGTTCCCACTGCAAAAAGAAGGGACATCCGGATAGCAAGTGTTGGTTCAGGCCTGGGATTCAATACAGGGGATGCAAGCAGTTCGGCCACATTGAAAAGGTGTGCAGGAACAAGGCTGCACAGCCACCACAGCAAGCACAAAGTGTAGATGACCAGCAGCAAACCAGTGAACCAGAACAGTTATTTATAGCTTCATGCTACTCAATGCAGACCAACAGAGATGTTTGGCTGATAGACAGTAGATGTACTAACCACATGGCAACAAATGTGGAGAATTTTGTTAGACTGGACAGGACTTACACTCCAAGGTTTACATGTTGGAAAATGGGGACTTATGTGAAAAACACCAGCAGCCATGTAGATGTAGCACCAAACTCAGGCAAGTGGATTAACCGAGTATTATTTCTAATGTTTTATAATTTTTTATTTTTAATTATATTAGTTTTATATAAACCTTTATTTATATTTTTTTTTTTTGTACCCCGTTTGTGTTACCCCCCCCCACCTTTTTTTTTTTTATTTTATTATTTTATATGAATTTTTTATTTGTTTTTTTATTAATTATTAATTTTTATTATTATATATTATTTTTATTTATTATCTTTTTTTTTTATTTATTTTTTTTTTTTTTATAATTTTATATTATTATTTAATATATTTTTTTTATTTATTTTTTTTTTTTTTTTGTATTTTTTTTTTCTTTATGTATTTGTTTATTTATAATATTATTATTATTTTATTTGTTATATTTTTTTTTTTTTAATTTTTTTTATTTTTATTTTTTTTTTTTATTTTTTATTGATTTTTATTTTATTTATTTTTTTTTTTATATTTGTAAATTAATTTATATATGTATTATAATTAATATTATTTTATTTTATTATTTTATAATATTATTTTGTTTTTATTTGTAGTTTATTATCTTATTTTTGATAATTATTTTTATATTAAATTTTTATTTTAAATTTTATTATATTTTTTTTATTATATTAACTTTAATTTTTTAATTATATTTAGATCTATTTTTTATAATATATAGTATTATTATTATTTTTATTATTTTTATTTTATATTAGATGTTTTTTTATATATTTTTTTTTTTTTGTTTATTTATTTAGTTATATATTTATTTTATTTAATTATTTTTTTTTTTTTTTTTTTTATATTTTGTATTTTATTTAATTATATTTTTATATTTATGGTATATATTTTTTTTTTTTTATTTTTTCTTATTTTTAATTGATTTTAATAATTTTTTTATTTTTTATTTTATTTTTATTTATATTTTTTTATTTTTTTTATAATCTTTTATATTTATATATTTTTTATGTTTTTATATTTTATTTTTATTTATTCTTTATTATTATTTTAAATTGTATTTTTTATTTTTTTATTTATATTTATTTTATTTATATTCTTTTTATTTTTTTTTTTTATTAATTTTTTTTTTATTTTTTATTTTAATATTTATTATTTTTTATTTTTATTTATTATTTTATTTTATTTATTTTTTTATATTTTTTATTATTTATTTTTTTATTATATAGATTTTTTTATTTTTTGTTTTATTAGAATTTTTTTTATTTTAATTTTTATTTTTATTTTTTTATATTTTTTTTATTTTATTTATTTTATATTTTTTATTTTTAGTTTATTTATTTTTTAATATATTATATTTTTTTATATTTTTTATTTTTATTTTTTTTTTTTATATTTTTTTTTGATTTATTTTTTTTTAATTTTTTTTATTTTTATTTATTAATATTATTATTTATTTTATGTTATTTTTTTTTATTATTTTTTAATTTTTATACTTTTTTTATTATTTTTATTATATTTTTTATATTATATTATATTATTATTGATTTTATTTTTATTTTGTTTTTTTATATTATTTTTATCTCATATTAATTTTTATTTTATATTTTTTATTTTGTTTTATTTTACCCCTGAAATCGCACAAAATTTGCTAAGTGTAGGTCAAATGTTAGAGAAAATATGACGTTGCATGTCCCACAACATTCTTGCATTATAAAGGATAGTAGGGAAATGATTGTTGAGTGTAAGGATGCTTGGTAAAAGGTTTTCCTCTGGACTGGAAAAACCCGAAACTCAACATTAATCACCAAGGTTGAAGAGTCTGAGTTAATGGCATAGGAGACTTTGACATTTTCATTACCTTGGAATTAAAGAGCTTAATTCAAGGGCCTGGTATTAGACCTGCTCGGATGAAGAGAAAAGGACTTGTGCACAGCCTGCCACGCTTGGAAAACTTAACAGGCCCTCATTCCCTTCGGATCAAGCTGGAGCAAGTCACAAGCTGCAATGTGATCCACTCGATATGTGTGGGTCCCAAGGAAGACAGAATCCTTAAAGGGAGCAGGTACTTTGTACTCTCAGTTGATGATTGTTCTAAGAGTGGCCTGGTTTATTTCTTGAAGAGAAAATGAAGTGGCTGCTATGTTCAAACAATTTAAGTTGCTGGTGGAGAATGAAGCTGGAACCTTATCAAAGTATAGAATGACAATGAACAAGTACACTTCAAATGAATTTAAAACAGTCTGCAACCTAGCTGAATATATGCGCAGTCACAGCACCATACCCCCTCAACAGAATGGTGTTTGTGAAAGAAGAACGAACACTATGAAATGCCAGGTGTATCGAGGCTTAAAACCTCCCTAAATGGTTCTGGCAAAGCTGTTAATACTAGCATGTTTTCCCCTGAATAGG